CCGGTCCCCTTGCTGCCACTGCCACCACCGAGCTGCAAAGCCACGGGTGGCCCCGCGCCGCCGGTCCCTAACTGTCACCCGCCACTTGGGTACGCCGGCCGGTCCAGTGTTGCGGGCTAATTTGGGAGACGCTTGGTATAATTAGAACACACACACAGAGGCAGGCAGCATCAGTGGAAAAAAAAAATCCAATTTGAAAAAAAAAGCTAATTATTTCAGTATTATCAAAGTCAGCTGTTGCTGGTAGGACTAGAAGGGACACTAATTTAAATGAAGCATTTTCAGCTTGACAGCTTCCCTGTGAGATCAATCCTCAATTTCGGTCCTAACCACCAGAACAATGGTTTGAAGTGCAATAAGTTGTTCACAAAGGATAATAAAATATTCCTTTCAGAAGGCTGGTTGCTTGGATAAACAAGGCATTTGGGCTTCAAGGAACCCAAGATGAAAATGCCTTGAAGAAATTCCTTGGAAAGAGCAAATCCCAGGTTCTCCTGCTCTTTGTGAGCGACGCATGGGGTGGGAATGACTGAACCATCTAACCATTTGCTGCAGGGCGAGGGAGCTGGGATCGCTCTGTGCTCGTCTTGCCGCTGCTATTTTTATGGTGTCCCATAATAAGAGAACAAAAGGGACCATTTTATGAAATTAATAGCCAGCACAATTACAAAACTTAACGGCAAGGGAGGGATTTCTGCAGATATTATTCCCCCAGCCAGGTCCTCGCGCTGCACACAGCCTGGCTGTGCCGGGATCGTCCCCCCCCACGGCACCGGGGCGAAGAGTGCGGTGCAGGCGACACCACGCCAAAGGGAAGGGAAACTTTCTGGAAGCCTGATGAATTATTTAACGCCAGCCTTTGTTCCAGCAGCTGATGCAGAAGCAGCCCAGGGAGGATTGATTTAACAGGGTCACCGCTGAGATGAGATGATGGGCTTGGTGTGGGCTCTGCTTTCAGCAGGTTTTTGAGAAGCAGCTGCACTGGGGAGGACGGGGCTCTCCGGGATGCGCGGTGCCCTGGGCACGCTTCACCGTGCTCACAGCCTCCTCCAGCACCGCAGCACCCATGTCCCCTCCCAGCCCCTTTGCACCTTTGGGAATTTTGGCCGAGATGTAAAGCAAGCCCTACCCACCATCCCATGCAGGATACGGCCGGTGCCCGGGGCGTGCATGGGGTGGGAGCTGAGCCAGCACGGCTGGAGCACCACTGCAACCCCCTTTGCAAAGAGGAGATCGCGTCCTAGGCTTGCAAAAACCTTGGAGGGGGCTGCTGGGGTACCTGCGAGGCAGCGGAGGTCAGGCGGCGCGGGGCCAGGCGCTGGAGCGGGGCCCTGGGAGAGCGGCATTGTTCGGCGGTGCCGGCAGCCCGGGGGCTGCTCCCAGCCTGGCGCAAGACAGCATGACTCACCCAACCACACAGGGCTTTGGCGAGGGCCTCCATCACTCGGGGTGGGAGAAGACAAAGCAGCTTGCACACACACACACACACACACACACTCTCTCTCTCTCTCTCTCTTTCCCACCCTCCTCCCTC